AGTAGGGTGCTACACTGCCCAAACAAAGGTGACTCCTTTCTAATGGTTCAGATACACCAGCTGATTCCCAGGATAAAGATGGGCAATCACCTCCTGTGTGCTTACTAACCTAAAACCTGGTGGAGGGTCCAGTAGGAGTCAGCTCTGACTCATTGGCAATGAATTTGAACTTGTGTTTTGAACCAAAAGTACACACAAATCTGTTTTGGAAGAGGTGCAGCCAGGGTGCTCCTTGGAGGTTAGAATAGTGAGACTTCAAGAGCACCCAGCCCTTAGAAAAATAAAATGAGGAGAGGAAGAAAGACCTCCAACAAGATAGGTTGACACAGTGATTGCAACAACTGAGCACAAAAGAGATTGTTAAGGGTGTCTGTGGTGGCAGGATTTTTTAACTTTTCCATCCATTGCCTTGGACCTGACCACATGGCCAGGTGCTAATGTGTAAGTAAAAGGACACTTTGAAGGTCCACTCACCACCCTTAGCTCCCGGGGGGGCAGAGTCTTCAGCTGTCTCAACTGCAGGCACCGGGTTCACAGTTGATCAGCTTCTTCAACGTCATCAATAACTGTGAGGCCAACAAAAGAGAGAGCGAGTGAACTAACAAGGCTGTAGGTGAGGTGTAGCGGATGATGTCAGACAGTCTGACAAAGTCAGGACCAGAGCCCGTGAGAAGGCACCCTCAACACTAGGAAAGAAGAAGCAGCCGAGAAAGCAGCAGGTGTCTTTCAGAGGCCAGAGGTTCTTGCACAAGAGGTTATCTTGCTATTGATTGAGAAGCTAATTGCCTAGGTTAATTAAGGGACTGCATGTTGCTGTTGATTGAGAAGCTGAACTATTGAGGGATTGTGTTTTGCTGTTAAGTTGGCTTGAGACTGCCACTTACTAAACCTGGAATCTCACTGTCTGATATTCTGTGCCTTCCCCCCCTGCCCCCACCCCAATCTGTTTCCCTAATAAACCCCAAAATTGGGAGCAAAAAGGTGATTCTATGAGTCTGTATGGTCATATGTAATGGAGTTTGGACACAGTAATTAACAGAAGCAAAAAAGCAGTAACACACAGCAAAAAGGACCCCAGAAACTTCCCTTACCTCGACCGTCACCAAGATGAGCCACCACCAAGATGCCAGCATCCCGCCAGTCAGCCAGCCGACTTCCAGAGTGGGGAGAACTCCAGTGCCCAAGCCTCCTGAAGGATTTTAAGCTACCGCCTGGAGCAAGATCCACAGGCTTCCCTCTTACTTCCCCTCAGTTTAAGGCTCTGGGCCACCCACCCACTTTTGAAGGGCAAAAGAGCAGCAACACACAGCACGTATGTCCCATGGTGGGCAGTGTTTGGTGGCACTCCCTGGTTAAACAAGTTTGGAAGCAGTAGTGACATCCACTTCCGTAAATAGCTTGCTTCCAGAAACCCTATGAACCTGGAGAAAGGATGAAAGTCACACAAGTGTCGAGGACTTTCATTCATAGGGTTGCTATGAGTTGCCTATGACTTGAGGACCCTTAACAACAACAACAACAACAACAACAACAAATTAATAGAAGTAGGTGCAGTAGTGCAGGTATTTGCATAGGGATTTGATTCTTAGAAGGTCCCCATTTATTTATTTCATTCTTTCCTGGTTGTAGGGTTTTTCATTATACTTGGAAGCCTGTTCACTCTGTGGATTAGGACTTCTAGAGTTGTTCCTAGCTTTTCTTTGATGAATTTTATAGTCTTTGGTTTTACTTCTAGGTCCCTGATCCACCTTGAGTTGCTTTTTACATATGGTGTGAAGTGTGAGTCTTGCTTAAGTTTTCTGCAGATGGTTTTCCAACTTTGCCAATGCCATTTGTTAAGCAGGTTATCATTTCTCCACTTAACTGAATTCATCTCCTTGTCAAAGATCAGTTGACCATAGGTAGATGAGCTGACTTCTGGGTTCTCAATTTTATTCCATTGGTCTATCACTGTACCATTACCATGCTGTCTTGACCACCATTATCATCCAGAATGTGTGTGTGCCAATGCCTTTTCCTAGCTCATTGAATTGTCCAGTCTCCACTAAATTATAAATTGTTCCAAAGTATGACCTCTGTCTTTTTCATTTTATTTGGATAATGTAATTTTATAAACATCTTTGGAAGGAAAGTCAAAACTCCTAAGTCTTTATTGCTAGTGCATGTTAAACAATAAATGTGTTGTCTTAATATCAAGTTTTCAGGTGTTTGGAATAATTTTCACTTAAAGGCGTCTCATGTCCTTAATGTCTAGCATTCAGGGGATGAAAGCCAAAGAAAGGGAAAGGAAATTCCAGCCCTGGGAGAGCTGTCTGGCCTTCCAAGGGTGTGCGGTTCAGCCCTAGGCCCATGGGAAGAGCCTTCAGGTCACTGGGGGAAACTGCCTAGGGTATATACAGAGTTTTATCTAACTCACTTTCCTTCACCTCCTCCCCCAGTTTACCTGTAAGTAACACTTCCAAAGCCCTTCTCTTTATAACTTACAAATTTGTTCTAAGTTTGCTCCCTTTCCTACGGGTAACCTTAACACTGAGTTTTGCTCCAGACCTGAACCCAGTTCCAAAGGCAAGAGGGAAATATAACTGCCAGCTAAGAAAGTGGAGGATGGAGCCTCAGGATTCAGTCAGCCATCCCCACTGGATCCACCTTGGAAAACACTGTGCAGTCCAGAGGGCAGTAAACATCAGAAAAATATCTTCCAATTGAACAAGAAGGAATGCGGCTTCAACCAAGGACCACCAGTAAGGTGTCAAAGGGGGCTCCCCTTCTTCCGTCACCTCAATGCCCTTGTTCAGCATGAAGAAGCCAGAGAGTCTGTGCTCCATTCCCAAATGATAAACTCACAAGTGAATAAGACAGTTTCTTTGTAAAAAAAAAAAAAATAAATAATCATTGGACTATGCTTACCATTACTCTGTCTCTGCTGGTCCCCATTGTATCTTTCTCAATTGCTTTGCTCACCCACACCCACAAAATTGTGCAGCCCTGTGATTTCATCCCTGCCCATCCTCACTCTTCTGTTCCCAACCCTCACCCCCTTGTATCCCCATACATGTTTCTCACAATTAAAAAAAAAAGGGGGGGTGAGAAGAAAGAAAAAAAAATAAAAGGGGAAAATTAAATTTGTACAAAATCCCCAAAGACTTTAACAATTATGATGTGAAGTAACGAGCATCAGTACCTGCTAAGTGTGAAAAAAATATTGGGGGGTATAATTCTAAATCTTCTATGAGGAGAAGTGTGGCATCAGGATTGGTGGAAGATCTATTAACAGTCTGCGTTATGCAGATGACACAACCCTGCTCGCTGAAACTGAGGAGGACCTCATGCACTTGCTGCGGAGGGTCAAGGACTGCAGTCTTCAGTATGGATTGAGGCTCAATGTTAAGAAGACAAAGATTCTCACCACTGGACCAATTGGTAGCATCAGGATGGATGGCGAAGAGATTGAGATTGTTCACAGCTTCAGTCTGCTCGGCTCCACGGTCAACACTCTTGGCACCAGTAGTCAGGACCGTATTGTGATGGGAAAGATTGCTGTTAGGGACCTCTCTAAAGTACTCAAGAGCAACGGTGTCTCTCTGGAGACTAAGGTGCGCCTGATACAGGCCATGGTTTTTGCAATCACTTGTTATGCATCAGAGAGTTGGACAATGACTAGGGAGGGTAGAAGGAGAATTGATGCCTTTGAGCTGTGGTGCTGGAGAAGAGTATTGAATGTACCATGGACTGCCAAGAAAACAGATTCATCCTGGAGAGGATTAAACCAAGCAATTCCTTGGATGCAAGGATTCTGGGGCTTCGTCTGACATACTTTGGGCATGTTGCCAGGAGGGATGGGTCCTTGGAGAGGAACATCATGCTTGGGAGGGTGGAGGGACAGCGCAGGAGGGGAAGACCCTCTATGAGGTGGATTGATTCAGTGACTGTGGTAATCGGGATGGGTGTGTCAGGGGCAATGAGACTGGCACAGGATAGAGCAGGATTTAGGGCTGTTGTACATAGGGTCGCTATGAGTCGCAAACGACTCAGCGGCACATAACAACAACAACAATTGCCCTAGTGGTAAGAAGTTGCGCTGCAATCCCAAACGCACGCAGTCTGAATCCACCATTTGTTCTTCAGGAGAAGGATGGGCAATCTTCTTCTGTACAATTTACAGTCTCTCAAAACTCGCTGGAGGGTCAGTGATGAGTCAATCCCAACTCAACACAACCACCATCAATCAGGACAACACTGTCAGCTCCTCTGTTGCTGAGTAAAGCCCCTTTTCCCTAATTTTGTGGATTTGCACGAATCCTCAGAGGCAGAAAACCATCACAAGTGACACCTCATGCTTGAAGAATTTAGAGCAGGAGCCCAAAGAGGAAGAAGAGGAGCAGAGCCCAGCCACTCCTGTTGCCTAGCAACGGCGGGTCGATCACTCGGCGGTCGACTCACCCATCGACTCTATCGGCCGCCCGGCAAGGCGTACTCTCCTGGGAACATCTCGTGGCACGGCCGGCTCGGGCCAGGTTGCTGTCGTACGCACGCGCAGAAGAGACCGGCGGGGGCGGAAGGGCGGGCCGCGCGCGGGAGCGGCGTGCGGGCCTCCGGGGAAGGGGGCGCACGCACGAGGGGCGGAGCGGCGGGCGCCGGGAGTGGCTGAGGAGCC